ATTAACATATATTAAATAAACATACAACAATTTTAAATTTAAAATCATAATATAATCAATCTGCGTGCGATTGTTAATTAAAGATAAAATTTACTGGATTAATTTATAAATTTTTTTAGATTTTTATAATTATTATTATAAATTTTACGAAATTCAAAAAGATAACAAAAAATTGAGCCAGATCGAAATCAAGAATAAAACAATAAAAGAAATCGCAAAATACGAAACAGATTTTTAATTGTCAAAATAAAATTATATAGTATTATTTTTTGTTTCTATCTTTCCCAATGTATAATACAAAACGATGCTTATTATAAAAGCATTAAGGCAGTTTAAAAAACTACGGGGCATCAACATTCGCTTTTAACAATGTTGATATTTTGCGTAAGCACATTAATTGGAAATTGCGCCGGGAAGAAAAACGCGAACAAAAGACTATAAAACTGCCGGTGATGGCATGCGTGCCGGATAGACGACATCGCGTTGCATAAGAGCGACTCTCGGGTCCGACTCTCGGCCGACTTCCGGAAGGCACAGCCTGTGTACGTCTTACGGCTAATAGCGCGAAAGCGAGAGCGAGTACGACACGCTCGAGGTGTACGCCGCGTGCTACGGTACTCGCGAATAAGCGAGTGGATGTTACTCTCGTACATTGGCGTCGGGCGCACGTTAAAATATTTTTATTACGGTATAATCGCGCTTTCACCAGTAGTAGCAACGGCCGACCCGGTCGTTCGCCTCACACCGGAACACGGATTGTTTTGAATCAACGAGAACAGCTTCGCATCGGTGGCCTTGCCGATCGTTTGATACTGACTTCGCGTAAAATCTGCGAACTTCAAATCCATGATGTAAAAAGACCAGGTGTAACATTACGTATAATGACAGCTAAATATGAATTTCAGGTAAAAATTTCTAATAGAAACTTAATATTGACTTATAACATTTCTGACCAATTTTTGGTCGGTCACAAATGTCATTATTTTGAACAACTGCACAATCTCTGAAATTAGTTAGACCCGGTCTTTTTATGGTCAAATCTACTCAGTCTCCGTCACGAAGACGATCTATTCTATCGCTCCTGTTGAAATCCATGTCGTTATACAATTCAAAATTATTTCAGAATCACTTCGGCAACAAATTTTTTCGTCTGCATTCTCCAATAATTTTTATCACAGATTTTCATCTGCATTCCGCACCTTCTTGTATTTCACCGTATTTGTAACGCCTAATTAAAGTTAGTTTCAAGTTACGAAATCACACTACTATTAATTATGCGTTCAAGGCGTGTGTGCATGGGGAAATGTGATTGAAGAAAAGGGAAATAATCAGCATCATCTGCCACGCTCGACTAATCCGCGCTAAACGTAATTACATCCTGGTTAATGCTAAATCGCACTAAGCGCAAAAAGTCACCGGGTTATCCGCGGAGAACCTCGAGAAACTTTGCGATAATCGTAGACGGAACTCGACGACAAACCATCTGTTTAGTCTGACGTCGACTTTCACCGTTCGATTATCAAATCAAACCTCCTTTAAAACGAAACTCGAAAATCTAAAATCCAGAATTTATTCGTGGTTATAGTGTTTGAGGTAGATTAAAGATCTTTCATTACTCAACCATAAAGATAACTTGTCGTAATGATAACATAATATATAATAACAACGTAAAAGAAAGATAAACCCATATTGACCCACTGATAGCCACTATTATAAAATCTATTACAAGCAAAACGTTTTTCCAATAACAACTGTCGAAGAAAACAAACTGCGATGATTTTCGCGACTCTTTATATATCCAGTTATTACATATCATTATACCAAAACTTATTACTATAATCATCAGGATTCCACGAGGCGGTCGGCGAAGCCGTCGCCTTGAGCGTCACGACGCCGCAGCATCTGCAAACTCTGGGCCTGGCGAACACGTTCATTGATGAACGCTCCGCGGACATAAACTACCTCTTCGCCTTGGCGATGGATAAACTGGTGCTGCTGCCCTTCAGCATCGCGATGGATAGATGGCGATGGGACGTCTTCCGCGGCTACGTCAATAAAGAGGAGTATAATTGTCATTGGCACAGACTGAAGGAACAATACACAGGCACAAAGCCACCAGTTCTGCGATCCGAGGACGACTTCGATCCAGGAGCGAAGTATCACATCCCGGCCAATATTCCCTACATACGGTGAGTACTCTTCTCATATTTCAAACGTTATCTCGATTCATAATCGATTGATCTCGCGTAAATATAAAAATTATGAGATCAGTATACTTTTAAACTCTTTCGACGGTCTTTATAATTGCGACAGCGGTAATTAAAATATCGTATGAAACACGTGTGAAAATTGCGACATATTACAATATAATAATGAGAAAAATCGTACAGTAAAAATCATACAAATAATATTATCTCTTGCAATAATAATAATATTATCTGATAAATTGTATAGCATTTATGTTCTGCAGGGTACGTTGTTATTTCAACAAGTCTAGTCTTGCTGACTTGGCAATAAAAGAACACCTGCTACGTACTTTCATATGTAGTTTCCAATACGCCCGAAGCGGATAATCCCGTTGCGAACAATTCTGCGTAGCCGCGTGCCTCGTGCACGAGATCGGCGATTTCACTTTTGATTCGCGATCCCGCGTGCTCCTCCTCTTGTGATCTGTTCATTGGTAGATCAGGAGAAAGAGAGGCACGCGGGAGTCCTTTCTCCAGCTCTCGTTACACACGTTTGCAGCTAATATGACGCGCGAATGAATCGGTCTAATGCCTGAGATTCGCACGATCTGAATGATAGGTCGCGAGGCAGAACAGGACGCTGATATCATCGAATCGGAAGTGTTACGTATGCACTCTTTCCTTCGTTAGTCATGCTAGATAAAAGAAAGTCCTTTTTCCATCGACCGTACGAGGCTTAATTACGCATAGAGACTTTAGCTAATTATCGGGCGAATTTCCGCGTACACTGCGGCCAAAATTACGAAAATGGCTTTCGCTCTACCTCTCTTTCCGACTGTTCGCCGCGCCGGAACAAGGAACCGGAAACACCGTCTCGGTTACAATGAAATGTCGCTCGTGCGGAGCGAATACCGTGCAGTATCGAACGCACGCGATCGGAGATAAATAATTTGTCACGCTACACGAAGTTCAAGGATATAGACGCTGGCGTGAGAAACGTATAAACAGAGAAAATCTGTCTCGTAATATATAAATCACTTTACTGTTCAACTGCTTGATCTCCAATGAATGTCAAAGAAATCTAACGTATACTGACTGAGCTGAATATATTAATTTGATTTTACCTAATTCAATTTCGCTCGCAAGGGAAAGGAGTACAAGAGCTGCAAATTGCTTAGTATGCAAAATTTATTAAAGAAGGTCAAGCATATAAAAATAAACAAGTTTTCATATCTCTTCTAAAGAATGGCAATGAGGCTAGGATGAATTCCAAGGCTGTTCGTTTTTGCTCTTTGGTTTTATTAGAAAGAAGCGAAAGACATCGTACAAAGACGTTCGTTACAAGTTCCGAACGTCGTAAGAAACATAGTACATATGTTCTCTGTAGGTATTTAAGTTGTCGATACTATATATCTAAGAAATCGTTAGCGCTGTCTAAGCAGACTCGGAGACCCATAATCATCTTTCACGGCGCAAACCGGCTATTCTGCAAACTCATCTTTCCCTCGTCGGATCCCGCGGCGAGAACGACGATTAAGTTAGAAAAATAAATACGTCCGCGTTTTCCTCGCAGACTTACACTTCGAAAAATAAAATTCGAGACTCGCGAGTGCCGAGGAAACGCTTCGTTAACGCTCCCGTATGAAAGATCAGCCGTTGACCGCGTTACGAATCGCATTGCTCTATGATTTTCTTCTCGACGCAATGCGTTTGAAAAACATGTAGAAGAAATGTTATTGCGATATTCCGTAATGCGCGCCGTCACGTTCGTTCGTATGATGCAGTGGAGAATTTAAAAATGTTTGGGCCCCTCTACGAATCACTTACCCAGTCTATCTGTATATCTCGAATTTAATCTCTACAAATTAACACACGATTTAATTCTAGTTTTTTTTTTTTCCCATGAATATATACACAATTTAATACAATTTAATATTTTTATATACAAATTGACTAAAATCATCGAGTCGAATTAAGAAATTTGATTATTTACGTTTGATTATTACTTCATCTTATCGCATTTCCTTTTCTCTTCCGTTAATTTCTTTTCAATTAAGTTCTTTCTATTCAATTGAAAAAGAAAAAAATCCTCCACTGCCACGCTTTTCGATATTAATAGTGTCCCGAGTATCCCGAATATCCCCCGAAGCTGGACTCGTAGTCACCTCCATCTCCGGAGTCGTGCTCGTGCACTGGTACCGCTACCGGCACTTTTATGGGATATGGTACCGGTTTGGGTACCGGCACAGCCACTGGCTTCGTCACGTGAACCGGCACGGGTCGTTCGACAGGCACTTTTACGGCATAGGGCACCGGTTTCTCGACCGGCACAGGTACTGGCTTCTCTACTGGATACGGCGCCGGCACCGGTACTTTAATGTGGACGGGCACTGGTTTCTCTACTGGCACTCCTACTGGTCGCTCCACATGAACTTTGACTGGGTAGGGTACTTTCTTCTCAACTGGATACGGTACTGGTTTCTCGACCGGGACCGGATACGGTTTAGCCACGTGTACTGGGTACGGTCGTTCAATGGGCACTGTCACGGGGTACGGTACTGGTTTCTCCACGGGGAAGGGTTGCGCTACATGTACTGGAACCTTCACAGTATACGGCACGGGCTTCTCCACTGGGAACGGTTGCGGTATCGGTACTTTCACTGGATACGTTATTTTCTTCTCGACTGGATACGGCTGGGGGATATATACTTTGTAGGGTACCGGTCTTTCTACCGGCACGTGAACCGGATAAGGCACCTTTTTCTCGACGGGATACGGCTGCGGTATGTGAACCGGTACCTTTACCAAAACCTTCACCGGTACCGGGATCTTTTTCTCGACCGGATATGGCTGCGGTACTGGCACTTTAACCGGATACGGTACTTCTTTTTCCACCGGATAGTGAACCTTCTTCTCGACCGGATAAGGTACCTTCTCGGTCTTCACAATCGTGATTTGCTTGATCTTGCCACCGTCGTCGCCACCGCCACCGCCACCGCCACCGCCGTAACCACCATCATGACCACCGCTATCGCCGCCACCGTAACCACCATCATAACCACCGCCAATGTCGTGTCCGCCACCAATATCTCCGCCGCCGATATCGTGGGAAGTTTCAAAGCCGCCGCCGTCGCCACCATAACCGCCACCATAACCGCCACCATAACCGCCACCATAACCGCCACCGTCATCATGTCCTCCAAAGCCTCCATCTGCCTCGACATGAATCAGTCCGCGCTTTTCCTGTTTTTTCTCGCGTTCAGCATTTTTGCTCGGCTTACTCGTAATCTCCTTTTTCTTCTCACACACGGCCAAGGCCAGCAGCCCCACTAACACCGTGAGAAACTGTAATCGAAACGATATACTGATTACATCAGTCGCTTACTGTTGCAGCATCAACGATTTACTTCTCGGAAAAATGCTATTAAGTACAGTTGTTAATGGACTTGTCAATACGACACAGTGTACAGCAGATTACATAAAATATATAAGCCTGACTATCCAGATCAACTATTTCTTTTTGTTCCTCGACTGTATTTATTAAATTTACTTTTATTATAATGTCAAAGCAATATTAATCAATTTGAATGGCTTTTAAACTATCTTTTAAATACCAACACTTTTCACGGTTGTGCTCAATATGCATGTTTGAAGTCACGATAAGATAATGTAGGCAAAATGATTAAACGAAGCTAATTTGAGAATCTACAAGTGCAATTAATTTCGCCCCGGACGAAGAAGCGGACTTACCAAAATTCTCATGTCTACCAAGTCTCTCACGATCTGGTCAATATCCAGACTTTACTGAATGCTTCCCCCCAAGATGCCACCGTCTTTATAGCCCGCTTTCCCCCGATGTGTACCAAGCGAGCCCCTCTGCACTCTCGCGGAAAAGTGAAACACGCGTCTGGCGCTCGCCCGACGTACACGGCGCGTTATGGCATTTTTTTTTATAAATCCTAGACACTGCTACACTGCTTCCATAATCGCGAGCAACGGCGTAGCCACTGTGGAAAATTACGGAACACCGGAAGTTCCTTCAACAGTAATATTAAAAAGAATCAAAACTAGAAAGTACGTTCGTCGGAAATGAGAATGTTTTACAACTACCTGTCACTCGAAATAAATTAATACAGAAGAAAAGACGTTTCGAAATTCTATAACGATTATATATATAATGTAAAATTCTGAACGAAGGACAAAACATTTTATCGAATGAAATTAAAAAAGATATTATATGCAAAAAATTGTCTTCAGATCATTCTCTAGAAGATTCTCTAGTTGCGTTACACTCTGTTGTTAAATAATGATGTATAATCTTCAAATCGACTCACGATTCTCCTATCATCAGTCTAAGGATCTTTCGTCCTTTTGATCCTGTCTATCTACGCCACTGGACGTGTAGATGCGTTTCCATTCCTCCTTCGCTATCATTACCCTCCTCTTTTCAACCGAGCCAATCTTTCTCCGTCATCCATCTCGTAGAAGTTTCTCGCTCGTGCGTACCATCCGGCAGGATTTCGCAGTGACCCCCTCCGTATCCGGTCCCCACGGAAGGACACGCGCTATACTGTATGTACGAGTTCTCTCGGCCGAGACGAGGAACATGACGATGGAGGCTTAACGGTCTCCCCTGCAGTCCGAGGGAGAGCGCGAGAGGAAGAATCAGGAACGGTAGGAGGAGAGAAAAAGTGAAAAGTGTCCGGTGAGAGGATGGTGGGACGGGGCAAGGAGAAGAAATAGATCTTATGAACACTGCGCCGATGTGAGATTGACCGCGTTTATTCATTGCTTCCTAGGAGCGCCACACGGCAAATTGTCTCACGACGAGTTGCTCTAATTGGAAGATATACTTTTAAAATATACTTGATATATTAATACGAGAAAAATAACGTCTCTAAAAGCATACGGCGATAATAATTAAGATTGGATTCGAATAAGTTTATGATACAAAATAATATCAAACGTTTTACACTTACTAATTATTGCTAGTTATTGCGTTCGCATAGCGAATTTAATTATTCATAGCAATTAGAAAATATGCTAAAAGGATTATGTATTGATAAAAGAAAATAGCAAGAAGAAAGGAAAATTATGTATGCAATTTGAATATTGCAAGGTAATATGATTTGAATATTGAGAGATAATATAAAATACAATTTGAGATATTTAATAAAAAATGAAAATGCATAAAAGAGAAAATAGATATGAATTTTGCTAAAATATATAATAATAATGTTGTAAAGAAGAAAACGCAAAGAGAAAAGTACGATAAATGAAGCAAGAGTTATTTTACTTAGTTAAAGATTGGAAATACATTTGTTTAAAATGCAATTATATTTGAAATTTTAATTTTTAATTTGATATTCAAAGATAGATGCATATCTGTAGCGATAGCTATATAGCGAAAAAAATGAAAAGAAGTAAGCGAAACTAATTGCTGCTGAAGAAGAAAAAAGTGAATGTTCAGACATTACGTCGGTTAAAATTAGAGCAGATTAAAGCAACTAAGATTCTTGATGATATCAACAGAAATTGCATTTTCACTGCTTAATGCAGTTATAAAGAATATTTTTATTAAGCTTGAATAGAACGAAAATACAATATATATATTAAGATTTACTATTAAGATTTGTTATATTATTGAAATCAAACAATCACATTTGAAACCTTCTATTAAATATATAATTACTATATAAATATGTAGAAATACATAAAATAGATAATTAGTTTCATTACATCACATAAAAATCATATTTTTCTTATTCTAATACGTCGAAACAAACAAGCAAAAAGATCAATTACGTCCTTAGCCAGAAATGCAAAATTTAATGCAGGTATCATAACAAAAACAATACGTACGAAAATTAAAAGAGTCCATTTCCAATTTTTACATAATTAATGATAATAACATGACAATGACAAAAACAAAGTTTGATTTTATTATTACAGTTTTACGACCGTCCTTTACTTCCTTTCCCCTGATCAAGCGCAGATAGGAAAGTGACTAGGAAAATAATTAGAAAAGTAATTTTATAGTTATATGTTGTGTTTTAGTTTTATTTATACACGTTGGAAATAATAATAATTAAATAAACTGATATAAATCAACGAAATACATGTATGCACATCCTGTTGCGTAGATCTGTTAGAGAGTTTTGTGTTACATAATAAAAAAATAATTTGTTAACACTAGAATTGCGGCTATGCCATTTTTAATCTATCTGATAGTTCTTCTTTTTGATTTAATTTAGATTTACACGTGTAGCTTTAGGTTTTTGTGACTTTTCTCATAAATAATTATAACTAATTACAAGTAATTTTATTTTGATGGTGACCGTCCCTCGTCAAAAGGCTAGATTTACCTTGAATCGCTATTAGATTAAAAAAAAAATTCAGTTCTAGTATTAATTTTAACTTAGAAGTGATAATATGATCATTCACTAGAGATCCCGAACTTTTTTGATATTACATATCGCTTTAACGAAATGATACTTCTAGTTTCACTATAATTTACAA